GTTTTTGAGTTATCGTGTTACAGACGGACAGACAGACAGACACCATGAAAATATTTTGTATTTAAGTCATTTATGACCCAAATACTCATTTTAATAAAATTAAAAAAAAAATTGCCGATCTTAATAGCCTACCATACCTATTGGTATGGTCGACTAAAAATAGTGGTAATTGTCTAATCATGATCATTAAAATTAAATTTATACAAAAGTAATGAACCTTTATGTTTTCAAAGTTGATATAAGAAATGATAATAAATTTAAAAAAAATATATAAAAAAAAGAAAAAGCTCTAAAACCATTTAAGTAAAATAAAACTAATTTATTTGAAATCATTTTACTTCCTTACAATGCTGTTTGGCTCTTTTTTTATTGCCAAGGAAATAAAAGTTGTTTTTCGGTGAAACCAATCCAAATTAAAAGTGACAGGCTCTTAAGAAAGGAGAAGCTCAGACTGTCACACGTCAACAAACCTCTTTTTTTCCTTCAAATTTATACGAATTGAAAAAATGTGTTATTTTTCCGTACTAGTCTCCCTAAGGACTATTCTTATTGACACGCCCCAAATTGTTATTATAAACCGCAATCTGTACTTATGTAAAACACTCGTTATGCTGTCGTATCCCAATAAAAAAATATAGAAAAGCCACAGTTTAGTATTAGAATTTTAATTTGTCCTATATAAAATTTCAACTTTTATTTCATTATTTTTTAAATTTTTAAAACCGTTGGCATGCAAAAAAGTCGAAAAATGACCATTTTTTGGCTTTTTTTGTACATTTTCAAAGGCCTTAGAACCTCCCTTAGAAGAATAGTAAAAATAGTCATAAAATTATGAAAATTTCAGCATTTGTAGGAAATTTTATGTAGATTCAAAATATATACAACCATTAAAGGCTTACGTACCTTGGTTTTATGAGAAAATATAATCAGTAATTAACAGCAGTTTTAGCAAAATCGGTGACAAGAAGAAAATCGACAATTTTCATGACTATACAGAAATAAGTGCAAGTATTTTAAAGGGTGATAGATCTGGTCAAAATAAACATTTTTTCTCTTTACTGTTTTTCAAATAAGTCGAAAATAACCGAATTATTTTACTTTGAAAATCAAAAAAAAATACTATTTCACTTAAATTTTGAGAATTTTTTTTTTCGCAAAAAATACCTCATAGACGTGTTTCTGAGGCCGAAATATACTACCAGTTAAAATATTTGCACTTATTTCTGGGACACCCTGTATATTATGTATGGAAAGAAGTCGAAAAAATGTCCAATTTTTGGCTATTTTTACACATTTTCAAAGGCCTTATAAAATAGTAAACATAGCCATAAAATTATGACAATTTCAGCATTTGTAGGAAATTTTATGTAGATTCAGAGTATATGGACTTTTAAAAGCTTAAATATATGATTTTGTAAAAAAAAATAACAATTTAGACCCTTGTTTTCAGCTATTTTCAATGATGGTTAAAACGTCTCCTACATCTATTACGGTTCTCGTAAGACTACAATGGCCTAGGTATATTATGTTCTTATTCTACGCATTTTAATTAGTACATAACAGCATTTTTAGCAAAATCTATGGCACGACAAAAATCCGACAATTTTCATGACTACATACAAGGAAAAAAGTCGAAAAATTGTCCATTTTTTTTTGCACATATTCACAGGCCTCAGAACCATACTACAGATAGTTATAAAATTATGAAAATTTCAGTATTTTTAGGAAATTTTATGTAGATTCAGAACAAAGCCAGTTAAAGTCACTATAGCTGTACATTTTATTTTTCAAAAGTTCCCAAAAATGATCTTGCTCGTTTGGTTTTGCCGCTAACAAAAATGGACTTTAAAAGGGTGACAAAATTTTCTGATGCTGGACCTAATAGACGAACAGCTTTTAAAGTCTAAATATTTAATAAGGACCTTGTATTTAAGCCAATAAGTTATTCAGTATAGTCGTTATAGACTTTGTGATTATGAGGGCAAAACTTGTAACAGAATAACTTATTAGCCTTTTGCTGAGTGGTTTTAAGCAGGTTATGGTTTAGTTCATTTTGTTGTTTTAGAGAATTATAATAAAACAATAGCTCTCTCTCTCTACCGTATATATTTTTAAGTTACTAGTAATTATAAATAATGGTTAATAATTAATTTAAGCTCAGCGTTAAATTAAGTAACAAGAAGAAAAAACAAAGAAATATAAGACACTTATCTTTTTTCGAAAACTTTGGAAAAAAAGGGATTTTTACCAAGATACCTTTTTTACGTAAAAAACGTCGTAAATGTGTATTTTGGTACTCAGTAGTTTCATACAGGTAGGGGTAAAAAGTTATACTCTTCAAACCAGTAAAAAAAAAAAAAAAAAAAAAATATATATATATATATATATATATATATATATATATATATATATATATATATATATATATATATATATATATATATATATATATATATATATATATATATATATATATATATATATATATATATATATATATATATATATATATATATATTCATCAAAATATGGACGTTATTTCAGAAATTATTTGGAATAAAATGGAAATAAAAATGAAACTTCTACACCCTGTATCTTCGAAACTAAGCATTTTAAGAACTTTTTTTATATGAACTTTTTTACTTATTTTTATCTGCAGAATGTGCTGCCGAAGTTTTCCGAATATAGTTCGGACCACCCTGTATAATACCAAATAAAGGGCCCAGAGGATAAACATGATAAGTGCCATTTTACTACTTTTACAGGAGAGCACCGGACGGCTGGTGGTTATCACATGTTCTTTCGTGTATTCTATATTTTTACTAGGCATATATCATAGGATTAAACAACTTATTTCCCTGCATAGTTTATGCATTTTGTAGGAATCAGTTAGACGTACTATAATATTGTAAAATCCTAAAATTAAGAAATTGGCGCTTATCAAGTTATTCCCTTGGATCATTGGAATTTTTATCTAACTTTTATAAAATACTAATAGTAATTTTATGAAAAAAGCAGGTAAGATGAAACTTAAAAATGTAAACAAGTAAAAAACGTTACCACTTTATAAAACTTAATAAACATAAATGATAAATTTATTACCACCCATTCACCATCGAAAAAAAAACCGCGTCAGTGATGGCTATGAAATGAAGATCACTGTCGTTTTGTATGTAAAATTATATGGGGAATGTCATCGATGATTTTTTTTCGATCATACCAACATGCTAACTGTAAAAAAATAATTTTAAAATATATTTTTTTATTTAAAAATCTTAACGAAGTAATTTTTATTTCTATATCTTTAATATAATTGACAGTAATTTTAATAAACTTGGTTATTCGTGTATTTAAATGTCTTCATTTTACTTAACTTTTTACATAAAAATTCTATCTCAGTAAAGCTAATGTTTATAAAAATATGAACTTAAATTTACTCCTGTTTTTATTTTTTGTAATATGTTATTTTTGAAAGCGGTATAAGTCCATTTGGAGTTAAAAAATCGTTTATTTTTTGTAAGAAATGTTATAGTTATTATTTCATAATAAAATTTAGAAGGTGTATAGTGTTAATAACATCACTCGAATAAGTTTAGGAATATTTTTAAATTAATTCAAATGGAAAATGGACTTATACAACTTTCAAAAATACCAGCTCATTTGTCTATTTATATTGTGGTGGTAATAACTTTGTGGAGTATACAGAAAAGTTATTTACAGCAAAAAAAACGTTAATCGATTATAAAATAATTTATTTTTGCTCTATATCCATTTGTACATTTTACCAAGTTTGAAATCGCAGAGAACTATTTACTTTTAACACCTTTTATGTGATTTAGTCGCTGTAATGAAACAACTAATGGTTTTCCTTTGTACCCTGACCCTGTAAAATTTGTCAAAAAGGATCTTTACCATTTCAAATTTGGCAGCACTATTATTAATGATGCGTTATTGTAAATTTTTACACGAAAACGATTATATAATTAATGGATTTGAAATCTGTAACGGTCAGATATTGTATTAAATCAAATATCAAATTTCTACAAAGTTATTGAAGGAACACTTTTTAGAAAATACGTGGAATGGAAAGTTAAAAGGCGCCAAATGCAATAAAGGCCAGAGTTTGTTTAGTTCATATTTCGAGAGTCTAATTGGTGTCAATTAAAGGTCAATTTATATTATTAAAGATTGGGAATACGACAGCAAGCTACAAGTGATTACGTCAGCATGTTCTAGTTATTTTCAGATTTATTTAATTGAAACGGTATTGATAACGCTCTTTTTATTTCATCACAAGAAAATGATCAAGCAACAATTTAATTTTGACCAATAAAAATTGTAAATTTTAAGGAACAAAATTCAGAAGAACCAAAAAAATTTTGCAATATCACACCAAGATATAAAAATTGGAATTGATCACACCAAGATATTAAAAATTAAAATCTGTAAAAACTGTGACAAAATAAAATGCTAGTCGACTCTGTATAAAACTACGTATATAATAAATAGAAATTTCAATATGTACAAATAAAGCTTTAAGTTTAGTTACTCATAGACAGTTTTAGAGAACTGTTTTACCACTAAGTGTGAAGATTAAGTTTGGTGTGATATAGTAGTTATTTCGTTTCCAAAAATTACGCCAGATTTAAAGGACTTACCTTTTTATAATCTGCTCGGAGTTGATGCACATCTGAAAGAGAAAACAAAACGATAAGAAATATTTATCTCTTTAAGCAGCAAATAGCATATTAAAATACATAACTCACACCTTATTAGTATCGCTATGATACAGAATAGCAAAGATTAAATGTGTGTGAATATTCCATATAATTAATTACATTAAATTAACACAATTCATCTTGGTTTTCAAAATACAATTTTTTGAAACTGTACATTTTGATTTTGAATTGGCGCCACCTACTCAAAGTTCTGTGAACCACCAGACATCGATTTTTACAAGGATTTTTAGATTGGCCCTCTATAGCAAATTTCAGAACTATAACTGTCAAAAATTGAAGTAGAACTGTCAAGAGTGTCAAGGTGCCGAATGTTGACATTTCGTAAATGGAAAGCAGTAGGTAACAAATTTGCCTAACAAAGTAGTATTTTGAGTCCTGAAAAAGTAATTCCAGTGCTATTTAACATTTCACAGTCTAGAATTTTATATTTGTAGTATCCTTCAATATAAAAGTGCATTGGACCTATACAAAAATAGCGCCATTGAACAGTCATACTAGGGGCTGTAACAAATCAACTAATTTATTTCAATCCTTACTGGTTACAAGTATTTATTTAATAGAGATTATCCTACAATGAGATTGTAGTTATTTAAATCTAGTTTTAGCATACATTTATTAACAGTGTCTAACATGAGCCGCCACGAAGGTAAGTTACATAGTTCAAAGACTGAACTTGAAAATACACATTTGTCTTCATATTTTAGGGGTCAGCTGTGATTCCTGTTTAAAAGGAAATTTTAGAGGCCGTAGATATAAATGTCTAATTTGTTTTGATTATGATTTATGTGCTGCTTGTTATGAATCAGGGGCTACAAATACTCGCCACACTACTGACCATCCCATGCAGTGCATTCTAACTAGATCTGACTTTGGTAAGCAAACCACCACAATTATTTGAAAAATATATTATCAGATGAGGATTTTCTATGGATTTTTAGATGTATATTATGGAGGTGAAGCAATAAGTACTCCTGAAATGCCTCAATCTTATACATGCCCATATTGTTCACGTATGGGCTTTACTGATGTAACATTACAGGAGCATGTGACTGCTGATCATCAAGATACAAATTTCGATGTGGTAATATAAAACATCAAAAATAATGCTGTATGTAACCCTACATATTAGAAGTAAAATATGCAGTCATTATTTAGATGGATCATACTTAATATTTTCCCAACTTTTTTTCTTATATCATGGTAATTTTTTAGATTTGCCCTCTGTGTGCTGCAATGCCAGGTGGAGATCCTAATCTAATAACTGATGACTTTGCTGGTCATTTAACTTTAGAGCATCGTTCAGGGCCCCGGGACCTTATATCATTTTTAGATGAACCTGTAACAACCCGTCCCAATGTGAGACGTATTCAACATAATACTTCATCTCATTCTAGTTCAGCAAGGGGTGCTTCTTCTCTAAGACCTCGGAGATCCAATATGCATTTTAGGTAGCTTCTTGTTTAATTTTATTTTCTACATTCCTGCAACTGAAAGTTACTTCTGAATAGTATGTAATAATCATCCCTTATTTGCTAGAGACATTAGGTTCTATAATTACTTTTATATGCAAATAAGGGTTGAAATAATCAATATTTTGCTCTATAGAGATAGTGGTTTAGTGTTTTTAGCTCCAGCGGTCTGTCATCTCTAAGTCCTTCTTCAAGAGAAAATGTAGATCCTATTGCTGAGTTATTGTCTCAGCTTTCTGGTAAATCACTATTTTATTTACACCTGAACCAGTATTAATTTCATTATTCCATTTATAGGGGTAAGAAGGTCAACTAGCAGTACTTCAAGTAGTACTCCAACTCAACTTCAGCAATTGCAAATGCAACTCCAGTTGGAAAGACAGCAAGTGAACGCGGCCAGACAGAATTTAGAACGTTTTCCTAGGCGTCAAACTCAAAGTCAGACTTTGAGAGAAGCTCATACTTCAAATTTTGGCTCTTCAACTATTTTGCTCAATGCTTCACCTGTTCTGATTCAGCCTTCTAATAGTACAACATCTGCACCTGCCCAAGGCTACAGTTCTCAATTCTTACTTTCTGGTACCACTATCTATCTATAACAGATCTTATATGTCTCTATTTTAAATGCTTTTTAGGTTTATTAGAAGAGATGTCAATGAATTCAATTTCTAATGAGGAGCGTCATGACCGCTCAGCTTTTGTTCAGGAACTGGTGTTATCCTCAATATCAAATGGCACTCAAGAAGAAAGTTGTCTTGAACAGTTTAATCAACTAATTGAATCTAGTCGCACTGCTGAGGTGATTGAAGAAGAGGAAATAAGACCTCAGCGTCAAAGTACAGTCCTTAGGGGCAGAGCTAGACAAGATAACCAAAATGCTAAGAGAAGAGCTGAAGCTAATCGTAAAGACAAAACCAAGAACTCTGACCCTGAGGAAAATAGATAGTTCAATTATTTAGATTTTAAATTCTTGTGATAGTTTTGTTTTGTTCATTCTGTGAGACATTCAAAATGGCTTGTTAATTATTCTTTTATAAAAAAGAATCATTGTCTTTAAGAAATTTATTCAATTTTGTATTTCTTTAGTGAACTGCTTTAAATTTCACTAGCTTGCACATTATCCATTCATCTGATTTCTATTTATTTCCAAAGAAAGAAATATGTATGAAGGGTTTGGATATTTAAATTGTTAAATATTTCATTGGTTTGGAACTGTATGTTAACTCCTAATAGTACCTATTTATGTTTGAATTCTTTAATACCTTTAAATAAAAGAGTTGCTATAGTATATAAAAATAATTTATTATTGATGTACATGTACAACATATAAAGACAAATTAATTTATAGTTCTGCTTAAATAAATTAAAACTATACATTTTGGCAGATGAAAGCTTTTACTCAATTTTAGTACAAGCTGGTATATGTTTTAGTTTTGTTAACAGATGCAATTTAGAATGTATTAGTCATCTATGTCTACCATGTGTCCAGTTACTGTAGCAGATTGATGATATCTTCTTCTATTTGAGAAATCTTCATTGTCTTCATTTAATTGTGCTGTTGACACATCTAAACCTGGATGCACAGGTGTAACAACAATTTGTTCATAATCAGTTACCCTTTTGCTAAAAGAATTAAAAGATATGCAACAATATAATGAATGTTTTAAATGTTTATTCCACTGATAACAACTGTACTCTTACCCAAAGCAACGCAAAAGTACTGTTTTCAACCACCTTAAAAAGTGAAATTCACTCGCTAATCCAGGCTTTACTGCTGGATTGGCTGTTCCAATGTATAACCAGACTAAAAATACCACACTTATGCAAGCAATTGCATAAACCCAACTCACCAAAAACATTATAAGAATTTTTATAAGAGCCTACAATGAATAAAGTCTATAAATATATTTCTGTCTTTAATTATAAGATTTTATTTAATATTACCCCAATCAAGGAAAGCCATCTGTTGCATAAATGTGAATACCAGTTCTTCTGCTTAGAATGGATATGATTTTTTGGAGCTATTGGTGTAGTTTCAGAGTTTTCGGTAGGACTAGACGGCGAATTAGAGCTAGATTCCTCCTAAAATGCCAACTGAATGTTTTAAAAAGCATAAGATAAGTGTATTCAAATTATACCCGCAGATTTTTATGCCTTGTCCTTTCTGGAAACAACCTATCTAGATCATTTGTGTCTGAATCTACACTTACTGTTGTTTGAACCCTTGGCCTATGAAATCTTTGTTCTCTTTGGTGTTGAATATCAAAAGTTTGTGCTAAAGCAAAGTATGAATAATCTATGCATGCATATGTAAGTAGATATGGCATGGTCACTATTGGTGCTAAGGTGTTTATATTTCCAATTAATATAAAGGCAAAAGTTACAGTGGCTACTACAGCCATTGAATACAATGGCACTTTGTTTGGTCCTCTCTACAAAGTAACACTCATTAAGTTCTCAAGTATCACAACTATGTAAAAAACTTACTCCCATCCCCAATATTCCTATTCCAGGAATAACATTTTCTAGTGCAATAGACTGCAATACCCTAGGAGTTCCATACATGGCACCTAAACAGCTTGACATAGAGGATACGTATAATCCTGCTAAAAATAGTACACCAATGGATGAAACTTTTGCTGCAATCATGTAGTCTTCCTTCAAAAAATGCCTTGTACACGTAGCCCCCAAAAATATAATAAACACTAGATATAAAAATGTTGCAAAACTGATAGCTGCTAGGGTTCCATTTGGAATGTTTGTTGAAGGTGATCTTAAATCACCACTCATATTAATCCCAGACAAAATTCCAGTAATTGTGGGAAAAAATACTCCAAATACTGAAAACCAGCTATAACCCTCTGTATAGTTTGACCACATGTTATATTCTAAATTGTTACTTATCCACCCCTCAAAACCATTGGCTAAAACAATTCTACCTTAGGAAAAAAAATTAAAGAATTTATTGATTACCTTCATCAGAATGTACAAAGCTGCCTACCATAAAATCTAGTGCAGCTAAAAGCAAAATTAGTAACAGAACAAACTGCAATTTGATCACCCATTTTACACCAGCTATGTTAATGCTGCTCAATAATAACACAGCTACTATTGCTATAATACGTACTGCCCATGAAGAATCACCAAAACCAATTAGTTCTGCCATTGATTCCCCAAATCCCAAAACATTTAAGGCACAACCTACTGCCTTGAAATGTAACATAAAATTAGTATATGAACTTAGTTGAACTTAGATAACACTGAAATGTGTAAATTACCTGGCCAAAACAGTATAATAATCCAAGAGATCCTCCAAATCTAGATCCCAGAACATGACCTAGTACAAAATAAACACCTCCACTTTCTATCCTACATCTTTCACATATTCCCACAGCTGATAATACTGATATCAATGCAGTTGCCACTAAATTAAACAACAGAAGGCATGGTAAATATTTATGGAATGTTATAACTATTTAAGTAGATACCTGTTGCTAGTACAATTAAAACACCACTAATAACACCAGCTTGGCTGACAATCCACCCAGCACGCAAAAAAACAATAACACCAAAAATGTTAATTAAGCATGATGTAAAAACACCATCCCAAGTACCAAAAAGGACTGGTTGTGATATGAAAAAATTAGATTTCCACCATGGAGTGTCACCCTAAAATTGATAATACAGACACCCAGCTGTTAAAGAATACAGTTATAAAATAATCACTTGTTCTTCGGCAAAAAGCTCATTTGCTCCGGAGGCCTGATGGCCCCCTGCAGCATAATGACCTTCTGATGACAAGTCAACAAATCCACTAGTATTAGCTCGCACCCTTTGTGCTGTTTCAGTACCTAAACCATATTTAGTCCAATCTATTTCCCTGTTACGACTATCTCCTCTACTATTTCCTTCCATTATTCCTGGAAGTTAAAGCACGCTATGTGGAGGATGTAAAATATCTCAGTCTTTCTTACCTTAATTAATATATTAAAAAACATTCAAAAATTCTTTTAATAAAAAATACTAGACCAAATCATTATTGAGATTAATTTTATCTGTTCTGTTATCTACTTCTATTAGCATTCAAAAAAAATACTTAACATCATCGGTTTTGTTATTATTTTTCGCCCATGTGTCAGGTGTGTCCCCTAGGCAACGTCATTAAAATAACCAACGACAAATATTCGGAGTAATAAGTAGCACTTTTGGTAACGTTTAGTTAACTCTCACTAAAATAGCTATAAGAATTCAAATGTAATTCTAATATTTATTTCTGAATAAAATAAGGATATGCAAGATAGAGATGATATTTTGTTTTTAAACGAAAATAGTTCAGGTTATGTATATTATCGCCATCTCTTAGCAAATAAAGAAAAAGAAACGCTGAACATCGCACACAAAACCCCTTGCACCAGGAATCTATATAAAAACAATTTAGAGCATAAATCGATAACTCTTAACGGCTTTAATTTACCCAAAATATATTTAATATAGCATTGTATATGAATTAAAAAAAATTACCTATACAATCTATTATTGATACCTAAAATATAATAAATTTACTTACCGATAAATTATTAAAAACCTCCTGTGTAGCTATGAATTGTGTTATCTCCTACTGCTTGCTTTGCTTCATACATTGGATTTCCTAAATTGCCAGTTTGATAATCTAAAAGAAATTTTTAAATTATACACCTAGTAGTAGTATAAACGTATTAAGCTTACCATAATACACAAAATTAGTAAAATATTAGACGTCCCTTATTGCTATACAAGTCACTATATGTTCCACAAATTCGCGATATTTAAAATTATCTCTACGGATACAGAAAAACGCGCGACTAATAGGGATAAACCGATCTCACCCTTACAAGGAGAATATTCCGAAGAATATTCCTTTATATTGGCGAAACTCAGGATTTATTTTCCTAAGCTATAAAGCAATAATAAATTATTACCATATAACTGAAAAATGTTCGCCTACGTCCTTTTTGCGCTTTGTACACTCGTCGTACACTCCCGAAAATAAAAAAGGTTTATTGAATCAACGAATTCGACAACAAATAGATATTTTGTATAACAGTAAATATTAAAAATTAAGAACTTTCCACGAAAACCTTTTGCTTTTGCAAAAAAGGACGCCATAATAAATTTTCAAAAAACTAGGAAGGCCATGGACGAAGAACAAACGTATATTTTTGTGGTTTGTTCAAACTTTAGGCAACCAAAGATACACAGTTGAAAAATAAATATTGAAATTATTAAAAATACAGAAAAGAATATAAAATTTCCTCATATTTTTCTATAAATATATTTTTAAAGCAAATATGGGTAACACAAATGAAAAATAAGAAGATAAATACGAAAGATTTTTGTTGCATAATGACTGAAACTCAGCTGTGCCTGTGCTCAGTATTGCTCAGAGTATTGTCATTTATTTATATACCGGGTATTGTCTATCTATGGGAAAACTGTCACTGTCACATCTAAAATTTAAACGTCAGCTTTAATGGATGTATTTTTTGTTCGTAAATAAATAGGGTAATGGGCTAGAAACATAAGGAGAAAATTCATGTACTGTACGTAAAAATAATTAAATTTCTCCAAGACGATCCAGTAACAGTGAATTCAAGAGTGCAGATAAATATACACCATTGTTAAAAACAAAATCCACGTATCACCTTTAATTATAAATTCCTTCACAACTTATTAAAGCAATTAGTCATAATTTTACTAGACGATAAAGATGTGGGTCCCAACTCACGTTCAAGTTACAGGTACGAAAATAAATCCATCGTAATGTGATTAACTCAAATAAAATATATTTGTTACAGTCCAGAGGGCAATAGGATTACTTACAAAAGGAAAAAATAATACAAATGATTGCTTTGTAACTATAGCTCTAGGAAAAATTAAATATCAAACATCTTTAAAGCAAAAGGCAGGACCAACTGTTGAATGGCATGAAGAGTGTGAATTGTATGTTTACAATACTGGGAGTGTATTAAATTAATTGATAATTTTAAATTTTAGGCCTATACCTGACCAAGGAAACACTGCTGAGATAGTTCTTACAGTTTTACACCAGAATTTCTTAGGAGCTACTGAATTTTTAGGCAGGGTAACAATACCTTTAAATTCACAAGAAGTTTATGAGAGACCTAAAAACAAACTATACACTCTTCAGTCTAAACCTGGTATGTGTTTGTTGCTATTTTTTTACAATGATAAGAGGCAAAAACTGAAAACAAATTATTGAATTTGACACCACAATGGAGGTTTCTTCATGTTATATGTGGTTTAATTCTACATTTTCAGATAGTATGTATAATGTTAGTTTATTTCTATACACTGTTTATTCTTTAGGTGGTAAAACAAAGGAGAGAGGACAATTAGAAGTGAAACTTGCGTTCAATGTAAAGTCTGGGAGTTTAACAAATCTAAGTAAAAAAGAAAAGCATAAATCATCTTTGGGTGGATTGTCACATGTAGCTCAATCTGTTGGAGGCAGTTTATTAAGTTTAGGAAGTGCTGAGAAGCGCAAAGGTATAAAAAAGTTTGCAAAATCGATTGGCTCAAAGATGCACCTGAAAGGCAAGAAAAAAGATGAATTTGACGATGGGGCATCTTCTATTGGGAGCGTCGGAAGTCTTAATATACGTAGCCAATCACTAAATCAAAAATTTAAAAGTAGACAGACCATTGAGGACGCTGATCCAGGAGTAATGAGCGATGAAGATGAATTTACAGTCAGTAATTGTGTTTTTGTTTTGTGATTTTAGCTCTAAGCAAAATTTTAATTGTAGTTTGATGACCTTTCCCATAAAAGTTCAGCAAGTTCTTTAAGTATACCTGCACCTTCAGTTAATACATCACCAGCGCTAGTCAACAGGACTGCTCAAGAAAATTTACCAAGTGTACCATCACCTACAGCATCACAAATTAAAAGTCAAACACTGCCACCTGCTAAACCACCTAGATCTGAACCCAAACCCTCTCAAGATGAATGGGAATCCAAGTTATTTGGACATTCTAAACCAAGAGGTATGGTAACTTGACTGTTATGTACATTTAAATAATTTAGCTGTAAATATAGGTAACTTAAGGCCCGGTTCAAATGAGTCACTGAACAGAAGATCATGGGATTCTTCCAAATTAGCATCACAAATAGTTGAAGAGACTGAATATTTAGACGTTCCATCCAGGAATGAAGATGCCATTAGTATTAAGTCCACACCAGAACCCTCTAAAAAGGAAGAGAAAGACGGAATGTACCAGAAATTAAAAAATAGTTTTAAGAAAGGTAAAATTTTGTTTTATGCACTTTTTAACTAGGTAATGCATGCAGCTTCATTTTAGATAAAGACAAGAATGATGTAGTAGACAAACGTGAAAAATATGCTGGTAATTCTCATGAACGTATTATTATAGGCGGAGAACGTGAACATATTCCTATACATACTAGCCACATATCAAGTGAACTTCTCCAGAAATTTGAAGGGAAGACCAGAGAGGTAAATTTCATATAATTAAAAAAAGTACATATAGAACTGGTCTTATTTTTTCAGGATTTAATCCTAGCTTTGGTGGAAACGCAGAGTGATTTAGAAAAACAGAAACGAAAATTGAAGGATCTTGAAGATTATTTAGATGATTTGCTACTAAGAGTTATGGAGACAACACCAAGAATTTTACAAAACCCTTATGTAACGTATCAACTTTCCCAAAAACAGTTTTTATAAATCACTTGTTTAGCTTTAATATTTCTCATTTTTGAAACTCTGATAAAAATCCTCTGTTGGTGAAATAAAAATACATAATGACAATGTTCAAAGTTAATAGTATTACTCCACATATAATTTATTTTTATGAGAAATAATAAATGAGATAAAATTTGACTCCCAAATAGTGCCTATGCGATATATGTTTTTTATTATTGTTAGTGACGAAATTCAAACTGTGATTACAAAGCTTCACATTTTTGAAAGTATTTACAAAGTCTTAGATAAAATTAACAGTGTAATTCAAGTTTTGTTGTGGGATTTCAGTCTTTGCCTTGTAACCTTAAATTTTCTGAAGTAACTAAATCAGGACTCATGAATATAATAATTGTATTGAATTATTCATCTAAATATCAATGACTCTTAAAAATCTCTTAATTAACAATATTGAAAATACCTTGAACTTCACATGCCAGACACTGAAATCCCACTGTGTATACTTTTATTATTTTAGTATCTAACACGTACATATATGTATGTATATGTTATTTTGACTTACTAACAAACTTTTAAATATAATATTGGAATGACTCCAATTTGAGAATGATGTATGTTTTTTATTGGTGGTAAGGTTTTTATTAACTGTTTTATATGTTTAGAAAAATAAATTATTTATTAACGTAAAAAATGAATTTCTTTCACAAATTTAAAAACAACAAGTTTGGATTTTCGATCTGCTTCTTAAGGGCTGTAATGAAATTGGCCATACTGACGCCGTCAATAACCCTGTGGTCTGCTGAGCCACTAATGTTTATTATTTCTTCAGGTATTACATTTCCTGCTGGATCAAATCTGGGTAGAATCTATAAAAAATATATATTTTTAATTATAATAAAAAGGATATGACCTTGATTTAGAAAGGGTAGCGGCACTTAAAAAAAACAGTAGTGTTTACAGAATTCTTGTAAACAAATAATAAGGAAAAGTGAATAACCTTGCATATCTTTTTTCTAAAAATAATTAAGTTTTAAGTACCTGTGCTTTTCCTATAGCTATTATAGCAACTTGAGGTGGTAATATTACTGGTTTTGTGTATGTTCCTCCAATCTAAAAAAAATATAGTAAAAAAATAATCTAATAAATAATATCTAATTCTGACAATTCCAATATTAGAAATCGAAAAAGTTGCGCCACTTAAATCGCTAGGAGCAAACGTGCCGTTTTTGCCATTCTCAATTAATTTATTCAATTCTTCCGCTATATTTAATATCGTTTTGTTCTCAACATTCTTGATAACAGGCACAGCCAGTCCTTGTTCGGTATCCATTGCAATTCCAATATTGTGGTCCCTATGCAGAAGTATATTTTCGCATTTTTCATCTATGGATGAATTGATAATTGGATATCTTCTTAGCGCGTTAGAAGTAGCTTTAATAAAAAATGGCAAGAAAGTTAATTTTATTTTCTGAAGTTCTGGCAGATTTTTTAATTCCTTGCGTAATTTAGAAATGTTTGTAACTTTTATTTCATCGCTGTACACAAAATGGGGTATTTTCTAAAAAATATATTAGGATATAAGTTAACACACCTTGTATGAAATAAAAGAAACTTACAAGAGCTTCAGTCATGGTTTTGAACATAGCTTTTGTAAAACCTTTGATTGGTATAACATCATTAACAATTTCGTCATCTTTTGCTTGTAAAATTTCAGATCTAGCTTCAGTTGTTCCTTCTAAATATTTGGAAATATCTTCTTTTAAGATTCTACCATCCTTTCCAGTTCCTTTTATTTTAGTTAAATCTATATTGTGATCTTTTGCCAGACGGCGCACTGATGGTATACATAATACTGCAGGCTTTGATGATGTAAAACCTTCATCTTCAAGTCCTGGACTATTATTTGAAATTTCTGGTGGTAATGTTGATTTGGTACTTTCCTCTTGCTCTTCAGGCTGATTATCTAAAAAATATATGGATGAAATTTATTTTTCTTTGCAATTTTTTACTTACCTGAATCATCCTGATTATCAGTTTCCAAATCTACAAGAGGTTGCCCAACTAAAGCCGTTTCATCAATCTTGTAATGAAGTTTTGTAATAACGCCGTCGTATCTACTTGTTATTGTAACTGAAGCTTTATCGCTTTGGACTTCGCAAATGTTGTCAAACTGTGATACTTTATCCCCGACATTAACAAACCATTCTTTAACCACTACCTCCCTAATACCCTCTCCAATATCAGACAATTTAAATGACACTTTTCCTAAGAGATAATGGCATGTTGAAATTGATCTCACAGCATTATTCTTTGCTTTCAACTTAATCTAAATGCAGTCATAAAGAATAAAAAAAATATTTAGGCTCTTAAAAATGTATACATAAATTCTTACAATACTTACAAACAGTTTTTTGCTCGGAGATCTAGCAAATCTACAAAGAAATGAAGGAATTTGAGCCATGTTAAGCGACAATAGCTTATATTTAAACTAATTACAAAATAATGAATGTCCCCTTTTATCTTTTCGAAAAACACTATTGCAACAGTACAAAATCACGCAAGTCATTTCAGTATGAATATTTTCAAAAACACAGATTATTTATTCAAATTACCCGCTGAAATAATTTGAGGTTATGTCAGGCTATGTTTAAAATTTAAATACCACTGGGGGCATTTAACTCATATGTGTTTATATTTTTGTACGATTTCCCATTCATACCCTTTTTAGTGTTAATTATGTTTATTTGAAATAGTTATAATTTTAACATAATTTTATCAGTTGTAAATATCAAATTTACAGAATCCAAAGGTCAGTGTCAAAGTACCTTTGAGATCTCAGTTATAAGTAAATTGAAACTGCAACCACAGTAAACAACACCCAAAAATGGCAACAAAGTTGTTCAAGTCTGTGATATTAGGTGCTCCTGCCTCAGGAAAAGGAACTATATCTGCTAGAATTGTGAATACATTTAATTTAGAACATATATCCAGTGGCGACAAGCTTAGACAACACATACAGAAGAACACACGTAAATATATCCTTTAGACTTTTAAACGAGTGTTAGTAGTCTTATTTTTTCAGCTATTGGAACTGAAGCTCAAAAGTATATAAAACAAGGAAAGTTAGTTCCAGATGAGCTAATGATAAAATTTATTACAGAAGAAATAAGTAAGGTGCGCCCTGTCTGGTTACTTGACGGTATTTTTTAAATTTTCATTGAAAATGGATTTTATAGTTTTCTTTTTTAAGGATTTCCAAGAACTGTTGCACAAGCCCAAGCTCTTTGGAACATACATAATTTAGATGTAGCTCTAAATTTAGTTGTACCATTTCCTGTAATTATAGACAGAGTGAAAGGAAGGTGGGTACATTTACCCAGTGGTAGAGTTTATAATGAAGGATTTAATTCGCCTAAAGTACCTGTAAGCTAATACATTTTTATTTAACACTAATTTACTGTGTATATATATAATTATTTTCTAAGGGAAAAGACGACTTAACTGGTGAACCTTTAATTCAAAGAGAAGATGACAAGCCAGAAGTAGTCCAAAAGAGATTAGAGCAGTATGAAAAATTAACAAGACCCGTTATTGAGTTTTACAGAGAAAAAGGAATATTGCACGAATTTGCTGGAAATACATCTGATGAGATTTGGCCTAAGGTTTTGGACTGTTTAGCAACATATGTTCCGCTTCATATTACCACCCAAAGGCAAACCAAATCTATTTAAAAGCGCATTTACTTTACAAAAAAAATATATATATTTTTATATTGATGAAATTATATTTTTTTAAATATATTTTATTCTTGTAAACGAATACTAGAGTTTGATTTCTTCTGGTTTTATAGAATTAAATTTTAAATTAATAAATTAAAAATATTTATTAAGATTTAGTGGTATTTTGAAAAGGCATGTTAATTGTTTGGATATGTTAATAAATAAATAAACCAAATGTGTTAATTTTGAACAGTTAATATATCTATGTAAAATCAATTAATATATTCAAGTAAAACCTTACACTCTCAAAATAAATAATGTCATTTGTAGAAAAGTAAATTTTGTTTGTATAACAAAAAGCTAAAAAAAACAGTCATATGTATTTTTAACATTTAAACACATAAAGGTTTAATAAGATAAATAAATAACTTATATTCTATTAAGGAATTGGGTGCCTAGATTAATTCAAAAGCCTCTGTCTCAATATCTTCAAAATCACTTGTACTGCTATATTGATAGTCAGAAGGCAGGATATCTTTTGTTATAGACTCTTCATCACAACTAAATCCATCACAGAAAGTAAACATGGGATAATCATTTGCCCCATTTGGTGGAACTACAATCTATCAATAGGATAAAAAAATATTCAGAAAAAATTACTGTTTGAAATCTTACAGGTTGGACAGTCTCTATAAGAGTCAGGAAGTCTTTTTTTGTTGCACAATAGAAGCCAATACAACAGGAAGGATCTATTTTAGTTATAGGTAATTTCCTTGGAGATCTACAGTGAAAAGTAGACAAGGGAAAATCTTCTGCCCAAACATCAACAACTTCTTGACAATAATGTGGATCCAGATGAATCAATTTGTCATCTAAAAAACAATATAGTTATTATTTACTAACTTACCATATAACAAAAATTAATATGTATAGATAAAACAAGCTAATAAACAACATAATCTTCAATGATCCTATTTGCGCCAAACATGCGATAAGAGAATAATTATAAACATTAATGACCTGTAAATTATGTTATGGAGCAATAAAAATACCTTGATATCCAACAAAATATAATGAATGCTTTGGCCTACCACCAATAATACCTATACACTCTTTTATGCTTAAAAGAGTTGTTAAACATGGCGAATATATGGTATTAAACTTCTCAGCACCTAGTCTAACAGGAATTAGCAATATTAAGGATTTCCATGCTTTAGGAGATTTTCCCACACATTCCGCAAATACGTCTCTAATATAAACTAAAATTATTATTTCTTAGTATCTCTAAAATGAAAAATAAAGTTGTAATAATGACCTGTACAATTTTGGGCAACACAAACTGTCAGATAATCAAAATCTGAATTTTCTTTTGCTGCATTTTTGAATGCTTGCTTGAAAAGATGAGCTACAAGACCTGGTCCATACCAATCCCCGGGTTTTTTTCCAAGGCTTTCACCAATCTTAACCAGACTATGTAATGAGAGAGGACTGTTTATAGAAGGTTTGTCGCCAAACCATTTTATTATTTTTTGGTGGTAATTTGCTTCCCTTCTGTCTGGATTCCATCGCCAGTCTACAATGGTTTTTTATATATTACTGTATAAGGACAAAGGATTTAAATGAAATGCCTCTTCCTAGAAAATGCACGATTAGAGCTTGAGCAATAAGCATCTGCCCACTGCGAATCATGCAACCCCAGCCACAGTCACTACTGTATGTAGAACCATTCAATATTGGAAATTCTCTTCTATAAGTCAGCCAAACTTTACTCAGAAAATCTTTTCTAAAACCATCCAATCCTTCTTCCTCATTATTAACTATCTAGAATGTTCTAACTTTAGTTTTTTTTTAATAAATTTCTGTAAAGCTACTTACTTCACTTTGACTTTGGAAGGCTGCAACATCAGTTCCTAACTCTGTAGAATCAGGGTTTGGTGGTTCCAATTTCCTATAGCACATTCCTAGGAGCCAGACTGGAGATTCTTTTGAGAAATTTGGTTTAAGTTTCATGCCTACTGAATTTAATTCTATTGAAATGGGGTTGGAAGATATCTCTTTATTATATCCATGATTACATACCATATTTCATGTTATTCCACATAGAGAGAAAACGATTTTTAACTTTTCCTTCAACATCTGATATGTTTGCATCTTGTACATCATTAGATCCTGTGGGTGAGGTTAATCGTGAATTGAAAAATGATCTGTTCTCCCTCGAGACAACTTGTGCTTCCATTGCTAAAAAGTTATGAAAAAACATCTCTCACCAGTCAAATATTATGTTCTAATACATACAAGTAATATAAAAATTTTATAGCTTAAAGTTTAATTTATTTACTAACCATTATCACCATTAGTACTAATTACCAAATATTAGTTTACATCCTTTGTTTAATACAGGTTTATTTTCAACTCTGATGTTCCCTCCATTTTCTATAAAACAAAATGTATTTGCTTGTTAAATCAGTGATTTTTATTTTACCTTTTTAACGCCTTAAATGTAAACTAACTATAGATTTTAATTATCAATATTATTATTTTTTTAAAGTGTCCCAATTTAACTATACAAATGTTTTTATCTGACGTTTGTTCTGACGTTTAATGAATGCCTGCAAGAATATATCCATAGAGAACAAATAAATCTCCCCTAAAAAGAAGGAATCTGTAGTTGTATAGTTAAGAACTTATTATTGGGATATCGCAACGAGCGATATTTTTTAAATAATTTATTGTATAAAAATAATGCTTATAAAATTATCGATAATTTTCAAAATTAAGAAAGTGCAAATAATCTATACAAAGGTCAAGAAAAATATAAATCACTAATTGGCCAAGAAACACAAAAGCATTTTGCACTTTGAATCACGTTAGCGTTACATGTTTAGTGAAACACGCGTCCAGATTTCAAATTAAAAGTATTTTGGTGTATTCAGAGGTGTATTGTGGCAAATTAGTGATTCATTTTGCTGTTGTACCGCATAAAACTCCAACTTTAAGTGTGTTCTACAAAGGGACACCTAGAAAATGAATAGTCTTTCTAAGAAAAGTGTTTATTTTAAGATAAAAATGTAATAAAAAATATTTAGCAATGTTTATTAGCAGTAACATTTTACTCAGTCAATATTATCAAGTTACAGCAAGTCAATTAGGCAACAGCTTTATACCACAATTAAATAAATAAGAACCTTTAGTTCAATCGTATAGAAATTGGATAAAAAAATATGCAACGCTTAACACTTGATAAAAGAAATAATGACACATGGAAAAAACAACCACACTTCGATATAAACTAAAGGTTTTAATATTAAAATATAACATTAACGATACTTCTAAAGCAATTAAAAGAGATCTGTAAACAATAATTTCTAATAATTTGACAGCATTACTGTACAACCTATGTTCAACATGTTAATATTAAATAATTTACTTTGAGTTAATTATAACAACAGTCTCACAATAATAACGATAAAGTTGGATAAATATACAAAAAATCAGACCATTTTAAATCGTAAAAATCACAAAAGTAGCGTAGTCATTTCAGAGCGCCTATCCTCCCTTTCCCTGCAATGAAATTACGGTATTAGTTTAAAAAAATCTGGATTAAGAGGAAAACAACTCACGTTGATCTGACTATGCGCAAGGATCAAAATATCCTTTTTCTCTTTAGGAAACCTTAGCTCTCTGCCTGCAAGTCGTGCTGACTCTAACTCCCTTTCAGCTTGATTTAGTTCTTTACGTAGAGATCCAGGACTCTCCTGTTCCCGGGCTATCCAGTCTAAAGCCATCTGCGACCGCATATCGTCATCCAAGGCCCTATTAGAATAATGAGCAACTACTTCCTGCCTACTGCACTGGCGCTCTCGCATTGCCTTCAAGCTGCCGTTCCAATGCAGAAGCTGGAAAACCTAAAGGATGCCGTTATTATGAATTCTAATTTGTATTTTATTAGGAAGGTAATACTGACAGTCATTAATTCTTGAAATTCTAGCATCGTCCGCCCTTTGTTTGACTCTAACATAAATCTAAATGCCCCTATTCCTGTATTTGGATTGTCTGCCTCTTCTGGGTCGCCTTTGAAGTTGCTTCGCGCCTCCGTCACTGCCTTTTCGATAAAATCATCAGAAATACGGCGGGAAGGGTGTTCATTAAACACGGAATTCATTAAAGCTATTTTAGCAGCGCTGCGCCTGGCCTCAGCTTTGGTAGGGCAGTTCTGAAACAAAGTGAGAAAAAATTAATCAAAAACAATTCCAAATTCAACAGCATAACAGGTAGGAAAAAGGGCAAATGTGAATAGGATCCTTTTTTTATTGTTCTTGCTTCTTTTTTCTTTTGAAGTTACTATAATATTAGCAATTATTGAAATTTGATTAAATATATATTTTTTTAATTTATAGTTAAGTTGGTTTATATTGTTTGATATGAATCAGGTTGCCTAATTTTCTTATCTGTGTTCATGTTAATTTTCTCATGACTGATTATTTAATAATTTTTTAATTTAATTTAATTTTATTTTATTGATTTTACTTTGGAAACCCATCCGCTGCTTTCTGATTGATAAACTGCGCCATAATTGAATAAAAATTAGTTAGTACCGAAAGTACCGGAAAAAACGGGAAATTCCGGTTCCTAAGAGGCGCGGTACCGAAATTTCCGGTTGTGGAAACCCGGGAAACCCTAAAGGAGACCCTCTTGTATATTTAGTTGCATAAAGTTAGCGTAGGTGGGAGGAAACGGGTTGTATCTTAGACAAGGAAAGAGAGGGGACAGCTAACACGCATATTCTCCATTATTCTCCCGCAATTTCTCCCGTGATCGGTTAGTGAGGCCAAAATTCGATCGGCGGCCATACTTTGGTGACAAGATTTCGAGGTGACACCGAACAGTAAAGAACAATATGGAATTCTGCATAAGTCTATTTCACCCGGATATTCATTTAACTGAGCATGCCTCACCTGAAGAAGTTTTCATTGGTCGATGCTTTTAAAGGGAAGTGGTTGACTGACATTTCCCCTAACCTTCAATTTTATTTACATTTTTATTATTTATAACACATTATCATGGAGTTGGAAAAATATCAAAAAATAGTTGGAAACAATAAACTAAACAAAATCACTCTTTTACGCGCACAAATAAAAAGTAATCCAAACAGAACTAAAACAGCAATCAATCGGAGTTTGGCGCAATCGCAGTTCAATCCATATCCGGGTGAAATAGACTTATGCAGTTTTAATATGGAGCTGGGTTATGTTGTCCTTTTCTTACGGCACAAAAATTGCACACGGGGGTTAAATAGGGAACCCTGCGTATATTTGTAAAAGTAATACGTATATGAATTTCTCCCGTGATCGGTTAGTGAGGCCAAAATCGATCGGCGGCCATACTTTGGTGACAAGATTTCGAGGTGACACCGAGAGGAGTTTTTTGTGACAACTGTTTTGTTTTAAATTTATAAACTGTATTGTTTAGTATGGTGAGATGTTCAGCGTATGGCTGCAAAGGCCGAAGCGAGAAAAAAGTGGCCGGAATTACATTTCACAGATAAAAATCGATACACAACTTTTGTTATGTGGTCATAAAATGTACATTTTTTCATTATAGCAGTAAAAATATGTAAAATGCTTTTAATATGATTTGTACCACATCCGAACCAAACTATTTTTAATAATTCCAAGTAGTATTTTCAATATCCTTTATTATAATTAATGTTTGAATCTATAAATAATGCTACTCAGCATGGATTTCTCCAGTGGCGTAGGGAATTATAATCAGAGAAATACAATTTCTGCAATAAACATTTGTTTATATATTTTACATGTAAAAAAATGTATAAAGTATTGTTATCAAATATGTAAAATAATTGTAAACTACAAAAAAAATTAAAAATTCTAGTCATAAAAAATCTATATGTATAGTTGTTATATAAAACTTAAATTTACCTGCCAAGATTTGCTGGGGGTAGACAAACTTGTGGTGGGCTACTTGTTACTACATATATTTTTTTAAATATTCTTTCAAAAAATTTGCTAATTTAGGTGTATAATAATAGTCTCAGTGAGTAATTAATAAAAATGTATAATAAAATAACACAAAGCGTCTAGCTTCTAGAGTTGTTTATTTTCTTGTGGAAAATTAGGATATTCTTATGATTGACGGTAAACAAATATTAAAAATTACATTATTCATTGAATCCGTACGCAAGTGTGAAGGGGAATGGCTAGATTCATTATTATACCATATGGTCGAAAAAAAAACGACGTCCAGTTGGCTTGTAAATGACGATCGACGACATTCCCCATATAATTTTACATATAAAATGACAGCGATCTTCATTTCATAGCTAGCGATCTTCATTTCATAGCTATCGCTGTCGCCGTCTTTTTTTGATGTCGTTTTGTATAGTTTTTATGTCATTTTATATGTAGAATTATATAGGGAATATCATCGATCGTATTTTACAAGCCAACTGGACGTCGTTTTTTTTCGATTATACGGTATAATAATGAATCTAGTCAATTCCCTTCACACTTGCTTACGGATTCAATGAATAATGTAATTTTTAATATTCATTTGTGAAATTGTCATTTCCAAACAAACAAGACGCCGTTTTTTCGATCATACAGTATATATGTATATACACGTTTAAAACATATGTTATTACATTATTTTTTATTTAATTATACATTATACACACGTTAATAAATAAATAATTGTCTTGATAATCAGTCCACTGTGACTGTTAAATAAATTTTGCATTATCGACTTAGATATTCTAATATTATAAAGGTGAGATTATAAAATACAAAATTGTATATGCATTACTCAAAAATGAACGATATATTAGTTTACGTTTTAATAAATATTTTGTACCGTTTAGGTACAAGCTAATTTCTGATGCTACGCCATTGGAGAATCTCGAGTGGTGACAACTTGCCTCACTTTCAGCTGCCGTGTTACCTGTCCCCTCTCTTTCCTTGTCTAAGGGTTGTATAATAATTGCTGCTGTTAAATTATGTATTAACGTACCTGAAAACTACCAAAACATGATCCTCCTGGAAGCGTGACATAACACACGTAAGGCTGGGCATTCGATGGGACCGATTCGTAAATGACTAAGGCCCCATTGCGAAGGTCAGCGCCCCTGGCCTGTTTCATTTGCCAAAATTCCTGCAGAGCCTCCACAACATTTACTGAAACAAAAACGAAATGAACCGACAACGCTGCAACTGAGCCCACAATAAGATAAAATCAATGAGGCCAATATGATCTATTCACATAAAAAGTACGAACATCTGTCTGCCATTCAGTCCTGGCTCGCAGAATCTTTACACTCGGTAGATCTCGCAGATAGGCATATTAGGAAAATAACACAAACGGCAAAAATTAGTATTTTGGAGAAAATATTCAAGCTGATTTAATGACAGGGCTCCCAATGCACATTTACATCTTGTCTTATGAATTTATGAAACGTTTTATATGATTTTATAGCATTTTTATTATTGGATGTGTTGTGGGTGCACTAAAAATAATATTTTTTTTTTCTTTTAATTACCGTGAAAATACCATTCATGGTGATGATCTATTTCCCATTAAAATAACACGCAGGAAATATATTTTTTTTTGGAATCTTATTGCGTTCTAACAAATCAGCGTATTGTCAAAATCAATACATATTCTTGTAGGAAATTGAACGGTCTTCAAAAAAGGTGTGATATGATTTTTTCATTTAATCGACTCGTTTGAAAGTTATTGAAGGTAAAGTTCAACTTGAAATCGTATATGATAGCTTTCAAATTTTTTTATATTTTATCACGAAATAATGGTCCGAAAATATAAAATATTCTGATTCTAAAATTCATCAGTCTTTGGTAAAACAATATGAAATTACAATAACTATTAATTAGCGATAATTACAATAATTAAGAATCGTCCTGATTCAATATAGTCATTGATTTTTAAGTAGGACTGTGTTTTTTTGTAACTTGCCTGGCATCCAATACTTTTAGCTTTAGGGAAATTGGTTTCCTTCAGTGAAATACAAACGAACCCATGACTACTCTATTGATGAAAAGCTGCCGTACGCAAAAGACAATATAGCTTTTTAGATAATATTTTATTTTGTTAACTAAATCTGCTACACCTTCAATAACTTTCAAACGAGTCGATTAAATCAGACCTTTTTTGAAGATTGTTCAATTTTCTAGAAGAATATGTATTGATGTTTACATCAACCCGCTGATTTGTTAGAAAGCAATAAAATAAAAAAAAATCCCGTGTTATTTAAATTGGAGATAGAAAACCACGATGAGCATTTTTTTTCATCATCGTGAACGATATTCTCACTAAAATAAAAAAAATATGTTTTTGGTGCTCCCTAATATGTATATTTGCTACAAATTGCTACATCACAATATGATTTAACTAGGAATATATTTTTAGAAAATTTCTAAAATTAAATCATAAGCAAGTTTATTAAAAAAATTAAAATTTATCCAAAAATGAAGTGAAAATTTAGTGAAAATGTATATAAAAATGAACACTGGTTATGTGGTTGTAAGGCAGTTTCGATGAAAAAAAATACCGGGTGTAATAAAAGTAGAGAAAAAAATTAATGTACCGGTTGTCCAAAAAATTTCAAAAATAAAATCATAAGCAAGTTTATTAAAAAAATTATTAATCCAAAAATTAATGATTTGTGTAATGAAAGTAGAGACAAAAATTAATGTACCGGTTGTCCAAAAAATGTTAATGTAGACCACGTTGGGCTAATTAAAGCGAAAGCGAGGGCCCTAAATGAGGCTTAATAATCTCATCTAAATTCACATCGGATACGTAGAGCCGACAACGCCGTGGCCCGTTTCTCGGTTTGGCAACGGAACACCGTCATCAGGCTTCGAACTCTCCTGACAAAAGCCAGACGACTGACGGCAAAAAAGTCGAGATTCGGAATAAATTTCGGCTTGGATTGTTAACTCGATCCATTAAATGTTTAAAAACTGGCCTTTGTACCGATAATAAATGCTTCTTTTTTTCGTTCGGGCGGCAGCCATGTAAGTTTCAGTCATTACACGGCATTTTCCCACGCTCAAAACTAAGAAATAGCATGTCGTTTATCGCCCAAAGAATAAACGATTTTATATTTGCCCAGAGGAAGAAGGATGTGCAAGAACAATTATCATACATCCCCAATCCTAAATATAGATTACCAATAGTTAGAAAATATATTTATTTTTATTTTTAAAAATATTATTCCTGAGACATTTTAAATTATTATTCCCGGTTCTGTCGGTATTTTTGAGACTGGGTAACAATAGTTAAAAAAAAATTGTCACATGCATTGTCCATTGATACTTTATAGCAGTCGAAATTAAACTCTTCCAAATAAGTAGTGATACTATCTCTTACTGTTCTTACTTCTGTAAAAGTTCTTTTGAAGTTCCTATAATGGGTATCAGTAATTCTTTAAGTTTAAATATGTTATTTTTTTGTGTTTATGTGTGTTCTATTTGTGATTTTAATGATGTAAATTTTTTTGGAATTGTATGATATTTTTTATTATTTGTATATTTTTTCTATTTTTTTGTCTTTTAAATGCTTTGTCGATGAAGCTATTTTGGCTTTTTGTAAAATAAAGCTTTATTTATTTGTTTATTATTTAGTAAACTGTTGCTAAATCTATTAAATATAATTTTTTTATGTTGTGTTTTCATAGGAATTTGTATTTTTAATTGAAAAAGTAAGTTTTTTTTTCAAATTTAGTTAAGTTAGTTTATGTTGTTTGATGTAAATTTTAAGTTACCTCTGTTTTATTTTATATATTTATTATTATATTTATATAGATTATATTTGTGTTCATGTTATAATTTTCTCATACGTGAACTTAATAGTTTTATATTTTTTTTCATTTAATATTCAGTTTTTTTATCGGTTTTACTTTTGAAAACCATTCATTGCTTTCTGATCGATGATCTGCACCGTTATTGAACAAAAATTAGTTCCGGAAATCCTAGGTGTTAACTGAGAGTCCTAATACTTTTTAGTTAGTATCTTCAATTTTCATGTTTACAAAACAATACATTTTCTTTGTTAAATCTTATACAATAGAACAGAAAACAAAACGCCGTCATAGTAGTCTTTTCAATGCCAATCAATGATAATTTCTAAACTGTACTTTAATAGAAAATAGATAAGTCGAATTACTATACTTCATTCCCTGTATATGTGAATAACCGTATTGCATAAATGTTCAAGAGATCTGTCTTCATAATTTCACTGCGCAACTTACTATTTTATATTTAATAACTTGTTTCCTGCTACTGCAAAGATCGTACAAGAGTAAACTGAAACATCTCTGTATATAAATTATTAGTTCTAATAACGTTGATGCATCAATCAAACGTGTCAAAAATTCACAGTAAAGAATATAAATATTAATAAAACATATTAAATAATCTGCATATCAAAGATTATTGTGAAACATAGAACATTGAGAATAATGAGTAAATCCTGTATGGTTGGCGTGTTTTCAAAAAGACTTCAATGTCGCGTTAAGACACAAACATTTTCTTGAAATTAAATGAGCGATTTGTAAGTTAAGCACATACTAGTAATGCAAACCTAAACCATTTATTTAGCTTAAGAGTTTTAAGATTTATAGTTAGTATTTCATTCAGCAGAATTCCATATAGAAAATTATAAAATCTCAGTTGGGCGTCAAGGTATTTTACTTTTAATATAGACATATGACATCATCACTGATGCCACATTACAAAGATATGACAAATTGATCTTTAATAGAAAAGGCTTCTCAGAATAACTATGCACTGTTTCAAGAATATGAAGAACAATTATAAACAATAAATATGTTGATTATCTATAGTAGTAGCTAATTTAATATAATCTTATTTGGAACTAAAACTAAACTAAAGTTAAAACAATGATGTAGAACTTCCCACAAAGAACAGATGACATGAACTCAACTTTTCTTTGGTTATCCAACTGTAAGCTATGACTTCCGCTAATTTTTCCCATCAAGTTGATTACCTTTGCAGATGGGAACGTAAAAGTAACATTCAATTAAGAAAAAAAGAACGCAACAGTAAGTAACACTTTCTAGATTTTTTTAAATATTTTTATTAGCTATTACATATTAGCAAGCACTTATACAGGGTGTTCCATATAAGAATGCACACTACAGGGATCTCGTAAACCAGAAGAGGTACAAAGATGATTAAATTAGTGAAAACTTGCACTTAATTTCGTATGTTTATTAAAATCAGTATGAAATCATAAAAAAAATCATATACAGAAAGTTTAAGGTTTTTGGTTTGTTGCTCATCAATTGTTATCAGGCTGGACATTGTTAATTTGAAGTTTGAATGCATATAACGTCATTTTAACAGAACGTTGACGGTTTACAATAGGCGTATTTGCTAAAAAAAACTAAAGTGTTCTTGAATAGATGAATTTAGATATTTTAAATAGTTTTTTCTTTGTCTGTTGTTTTTTTTGCATATTTTATTATACCTCCTGAAAAGTTCAGCATTTTTTAGCGGTTAGGTAAATTTTCTTCTAGTGGCGAAAGATCTAGAATTCTTTTCGAAAACTAACGTTAGCTCTACTAATAAAGTGTCACTGAATGACGTACTGATTATCTTTACAGGTATCACTAATTGAATTAACTAACAAAAAGCTTGTGGTAAATAAAAGTGAAGCAAACGCGGGCCCATACGAAACGGCAGCCGGCAACCAGGAGCCGCGGTAGTACCTGCCGTGCCATCAAGATATTCGGGCACCGATCATCAGGTACCAACATACGCGATAAAACGCCCGATAGGCAATTTTCTGTATCATATTGTCTGATATGCCATTAAATGGTTGAGTGCGGCGGTTCGGTTGGTGCCCAACCAAGTACCGGTCCGGCTAAATTACACGGCGGCTCCCGGCACTGCAGCCTGGCTGATGGGGCCCCAACAGACCGCCGGCCGCACCGTTTCTGCGGATGCGAAAGCGACCAACGGAAGAACCCCTGTTGCCAAGTCTACACCCGCTCTTTCCCACAACCCTTTAACCACAATACTGCCCTGCCGTACTCGTGACTGATAAAAATTATTATGCCGCTAAAGCTACAAGTATTAGAACTCTCAAATAAACCGCCAACTCGACTACACCGCACAGAAAATCATTTTGTCAATATTTCTATTACATAAGAAATAGAAAAATATGACTTATGGGTCTTCTTTTGATGTGCCTATAATGGGTATCAGTAATTCTTTAAGTTTAAATAATATGTTATTTTATTATTTAGTAAACTGTTGCTAAATATATTAAATATATCTTTTATGTTATGTTTTTATAAGAATTTGCATTTTTAATTGAAAAAGCACGTTTTTTTTCAAATTTAGTTAAGTTAGTTTATGTTGTTTGATGTAAATTTTAAGTTACCTCTGTTTTTTTTTGATCTGCACCGTTAGTGAATAAAAATTAGTTCCGAAAACCCTAGTTGGTAACTCGGAGTCCTAATACTTTTTAGTTAGTGTCTTCAATTTTCATGTTTATAAAACAATACATTTTCTTTCCTAAATCTTATTCCATAGAACAGAAAACAAAACGCCGTCATAGTAGTCTTTTCAATGCCAATCAATGATAATTTCTAAACTGTACTTTAATAGAAAATTGATAAGTCGAATTAACATAGGTACTTCATTCCCTGTATCTGTGAATAACCGTATGGCATAAATGTTCAAGAGATCTGTCTTCATAATTGCACTGCGCAACTTACTATTTTATATTTAATAACTTGTTTCCTGCTACTGCAAAGATCGTGCAAGAATAAACTGAAACATCTCTGTATATAAATTATTAGTTCTAATAACGTTGATGCATCAATCAAACGTGTCAAATAAAATTATTCCGCTAAAGCTACAAGTATTAGAACTCTCAAATAAGCCACCAATCCGACTACACCGCACAAAAATCATTTTGTCAATATTTCTATTACATAAGAAATAGAAATATATGACTTATAGGCTATACCTCTGTAACCGACATCGTCGTACAACTGTAGCATGGGCGCAGTCGTCGAACAAGCCCACTGCGCATCAGGGTACACCATCATGTCGGTCCTGTCCTGTGCGGATGCTGGAGGAGTGGGCTGCGCAGCAGTTTGACCCTCATCGGAGTTCCCGCCAGGCTCTAGTATGCGCCGCGAGACGAGATCGCGGCTGGCGCATGCGCTGCGCATCAAAGTCGCGCGTCCAGGGCCGAATCAGCCCCCAATTTGACTCGCATTTCCTTCGCAGCTCGCTAAAACCGATCTAGAAAAAGAAAAACACATTAATTAAAGAAAGATTCAATTAAGAAGTGAGAAAAAAGGTGGGTATAAGAAGACGATAAGAATGAATGACTTTTTCATTATTTATAGGGTAATATTTATATGTAGAAATAGTACTTTAGTTCATGCTTTAGTAGATCTTTCGATGAAGTTCTTGATATTGAAAGCAAGTATTTATATGTTTTATATTTCAGTAGAACTTCAGCGATAGACGTAGTAAAGTTCAAAATAGAATTTAATTAGTTTTGGACTTACTGTGACGACGTTTTCATTTGGCTACACTATATAATGTACTAGTATACCTCTGACATGACTGAGGATATTTAATTTGTACCGTATGGGTAGCGGAAAGTACGAAATAACAAAGAAAAAATCGCGAATCTGTTAAAAATAACCGTTTTAAGAACCGCGTCGAGACGAGAGCAGTAGACGAAGAGCTTTTTTTGATTCTCAAAGTCAAAAATAATTCGAAGATGTGGCAACGAGGTAATGGGATTAGGTGTCAGTGGCACGGATTCATCAACGGCAGTCAGCGACCTCGATCACGAAGGGGTGCATCCAACACCAAGAGTTCTTCGGCCATGGTTGCCAAATTATACCAGATTTACGCTAATTACCGTTCAAGCTGCGCTTCAGTTTATGCCGCGATTAAGTGTTTTTAAATCGAACTTTGAAACCGCGAAAAAAGCTCCCAAAACAGTCAAGGGATATAAGCTGGTTGGAGGAGGATTACCAAATGACTTCCGGTGGAACGAATTTTTATTAATTAAATGTGGCAATCTTGTGTGGATCTGCAAACTGAATAAACGAATGGTACTGTTGTAGCGCGCTGGCCTGCCCAGACATATTTGCAGATTAAGACCGCGTTGCCAAACTTCGGAAACTAGACGAATCTCTTTTGTCAGACAGAAAAGCACGCCGCACCCCCCTTCATGCGACATTAGTTAAAAAGACCTCAGACACTATCTTTATTTAACGATCAAGAGCCGCTAACATATAAAGATCCTTATCAGGAACGTTAAAATCACTGCACGTCAGTTAACAGTAGGTAATATTATTATTAGTGTCAATATAGCCGTATAATTGTCCGTAAAATAATTAGGGGGTGTTTATAAAAGCGGGGTTTAGAAAATAAGGATTTTAAATGTAAAAAAGTGTCCTTACCAACCCGGTGCAATTGGGCAAAACTAAAAAAATTAGAGACAGTGGGTCTTTATGGCACTCACAAACACAACAGTGCCGGTATTTTTTTCAAGCATAAAACTGTGTCAATATATCGCGCCAAACCGCGGACTTTCGGATATTCTCTGCGACGATAAGATATAGACGATATCAATAACAAAGAACCGTCACTGAAATGCAGGTACAAATTGGTATATCGGAGCCAAGGTACGATCTAAAGAGGTACAACGGCGCTGTGTACTTCGCGCAACGGCTATCAAATAACTGTGATTGCAGGCTGCCTACTGCTTTGGTACTGCCTTCTTGTCCTGCTGCATGATCTGGACTCCTCGCGACGCAAGGTCGTATGTAAAAACAAATTTTTCCATCCACCAATTTTTGCGCTTTTCCCTCAATTTTTTTTATTTCACCAAAAATATTATCAAATACTATCTAGACTATATCTTACTTTGTGAGGCAATTAAATTTTTATATTATATTTTCGTAAACTTTTAGTTTCAATGATCATTTTTATTTTATAGTATATATTTTTTATCTCTTACAATCTGATATCTACGTATTCGGTTTTAAACTAATTAATTTAATTTTCTTGCGCTCTCTCTTCCTTTTTGATATTTCTATTAAGCTAAAAAAACTAATCACAAATAACGTCATGTCTATATTTTACTGTATACTAATTTAGTTTGTACTCTTTTATATTATTTGACATACATACATAACTTTGTATTATCATACAATCCAATAAACAAACAAGCCTTGTTTTTAAGAAAAATATAACAATAGCTCGAGGTATTTTTTATTAGAAAGTTCACGAACTAAATCTCAGATTCCCTTCAAATCTAGGGCTTGTTTTGAAAAATAAATTTTTGAATTTAAATTTTCAATTCAAAATATATTCTTCTCATTTCTTATGGCCAATTCCTTCAGAAGTGTTTAAGATATGTTTGAGCTAGTTTATAATCCTCGCAGAGATTTAACTGTACCTTACTTTTACAAGATATTATCATTTGTGGTTATCGGGCATATTTGCTACTTATAGAAAATCTGTCGATAACTCAGGTGTTCGCCCACCCACAAGGTTTTTTTTGTCTACATGAGGACATTTTGCTATTAATTTTTATTTGAATATTTGAATTGCTAATTTTCTATTGCTCTGAAATACTTGCAGTGTATGGTAATCACTATTTTTATACTACAGTAAATTATTTTACTGACTTTGTTAAAAGAGAAACTATTGTTTATTTATTACTTTTAAATAAATTTACATCATATAACACACTAAAAAATTCTCTTCAAATAAACTTATTTTAAAATGGAATATTTTGTTAAAATCGTTGAAAATGGTTTTAAAGATTAGTTTTTACTAAAAAATAAAATAGACAAATTATTTTATACAGTCACATTGGAAATGATAATTTGTTAATAATTTTAAAAATTTAAAAATAGTGTGAGAATTATAATTTTATTAATTAAGAAAAAAACCGTTGTAATTATATTTTTATATTAATAAAAAAATTATATTATGAACTTATTGGATCCTGAATATATTCTTCGGTTTCTTCTGAAGTTCTAAATTGAAAATTGCATATGCGAGCGTGTAAATAAAAATAGGAAAGCATTGTTCTCGAAATAAAACCATTCTGAAGAAGAAATAAAGTGCTGTATAACTTCATAAATAACTCCGTTGTCGTTGAACTGAATTTAATGTTGCAATTAAAATTTGATCTTGATGCAGACATGTATTTCTATGTATCGTTCCAGAGCGTAGACTCACTCGGCTACGACCGAGCTTTAACAGAAGACTTTTATGACATCGTATTTTATTTAACTTCACGCTTGTATGTAGACAGCGTGTCACTCACTATTTTTCTCTACGTTATTATAGTTAAGCCATGGTACAATGACATTTGCAACGTTTCCTCTTGTAGGTATTTTCGAAGCGAAGCTAGAGAAACACCCATTAGAAAATAGCAAATACTTTATTAAATCATATCATAGAGTAAAAAACGTTATACTACTAACCTCACTATCTCTTCCCATAAATACATTCATACTAACTCACTACATAGAACATTGGCAGTTATTGCATATAATTATAAACCTACACACATTTAAATAAATATTTTATTGCTACTAAACGGTCTCTGTGGTAAGTGCGGAGTTTTCGTAAGCCTTCAGTCCTAAGGAAGGCGATTTTGGTGAAGATGATGGTCTCCTTCTAGTGAAAATGAACTCGTAAGTCCTTATTCGAAGTTTGAACATGCCAAAAGTGAATAAATGAAGAACGATCAAGAAAACCATAACTCCCAGACACACCAGACTTGTAGTTCCAGGTTTGTCCCATTTTATTATAGGATATATATAGCGAGTACCGTCCCTACAAAACAGAAAATCTTTGGTCACTTAATACAGGGTGCGGCGATAGTGCGTCGGGCATCTGTAGCTCCTATAAAAAAAACCATCTTAAATTTTGTATAAGTGTAAACCTAAAGTATGTATTAGGATGTATTTCACGAAAATATTTTAATTTCTACAGGGTGTGAGTGGATCGGGATCATTTTTTATCAGAAATATTAATAAATAAATAAAAAAAGTATTTTTTTTCAGTCTTTTTTAAAAAAATATTAAACAAGAATTATCTAGAAATCAAAACTACACTAGTTATTTACTGTAATTGGTCTGTACTTACTTGGCTATAAATATCGTAATCTTAAATCATACAGGGTGTTCAAAATTCCATGCCAAATTTTCTAAAATATAAAATAATTTTTCTTCGTTTTTTTTTAATGGAACACCCTGTATATTATATCTATGTTAGAGGGAGAATTAAAATCTGAACATTTTTTGCATTTAAAGTATTTTAAAATTTTTAGCGGTCTTTATTACATATGCTGTTGAAAAATCCGTATGTAATATAATATTAAGAATATCCTTAAAACTGTTAAAAATAACGAAGAAAAACTATTTTATATTTAAGAAAGTTTGGCATAGAATTTTGAACACCCTGTATGGTTTAAGATTACGATATTTATAACAAAGTAAGCATAGACCAACTATAGTATAGTTTTGATTTCAGGACATTTCTTGTATTTTTAATATATTTTTATAAAAAGTCTGAAAAAAATATTTTTTTATTTATTTATTAATATCTCTTAAACTATGAAAACCCATTTAATTATATATTAGGATTATGTAAAGTTATCAGAAAGGAAGACAAAAATGCAATAATATACACGGTTTCCCATTAAAAAAATCATTCCGATCCACTCACATTTTTTGGGCTACCCTGTAGAGTTAACATATTCTCCTGAAATACATCTTATTACATACTTTAGGTCTGCACTTACACAAAATTCATAATTTTTTTATTATAGGAGCTACATATGTCCGACGCACTATTGCCGGACCTTGTATATTATAAATGCGAGTTAAATTTATTAACTTAAGTAGACAAAGCATAGTAATAAACTTATTTTTTCTGCAAGAAACTATACCTTGACTTTATCAAGATAATGAAAGTATTTACAGTGTTCAGTACTTATTAAAAAATATACTACTTACTTAGACAGTCCACCAGAAATAAAATATACGTAAGTAAAAATAGCATATATCAAGGATAAGGCTAATGGATAGAGAAAATGAAAAATTTTTACTGGATGAGCCACAACCAATAAGTCCAGCAGCATCAATAAAGAATTCACTCCATGAACAAGAAAATTCATGGCGTCCAGACTAGCATGTTCAGCTAAAAAACAAAAAAAATTATATAGTTAGGATATATTAGAAAATCAAACATCTTAAAAACAAACTATTTCTTTAAGACAACCGACAAAAATTGAAACAGCATTATAAAACCAAACCCACCGTTTAAAAATTCGAATAAAAATAGCGTTATGTAAATTATAATTTTATATTAAACCGAAAAGTTATTAGTTAATATTGGACAGGGTTTCCTTAAAGACCATATTAAAATGTCAAAGATGTCTTATAAAAAACAAATATTTACGATAAGACATTTGAATACTGACCCGACCAATTGAGCCATGTTTTTAAATGGCCTATTTTTTGAAACATTTCCCTATGGTTTATCCATACGTAGAAATATTTCAAATTTTATGCATAAAACAATAACATAATGGCACTATTTGGTTTTGGAGGTAAAATATTAATTTCTTAGGAACATTTAAAAAATAATTATAAAAGTACTATAAGCAAATACATTTTAAAAAAATAACCCCAATTTTTTTGATACGAATCTACCTAGTGCACATACATATTTTCACAAAGGGCTAGTAGATCTTGATAAAAGAAACATTAAAAAATTATTAAACAAGTCCAAAATAGCTTTAAATTTTCATAACCGCTGTATTTTTTTTGTTCTTCTAAGTTTAATCTACTACCTATGTTACCATATTATCAAAATTATGTTTTTCAAATGAAAATTAAATTAAATTCCCCAAAAAAACTCATCACCCTATACCGCCCCCAAATATATGCAAAATTATTTAAGATTCAGCCTCATTTTAGAGCTTCCTGAATGTATATTTTGGCTTAGAAATATTCCTGATTATTATTTGATTACATAATCACCCTGTATATATTATTTGCTTGTTATACCGCACAATTGCTTTAAAAATTACGTTTTTTATGTGGTTTCCTATTATATTTCAATTGATTTTTATGCCATAAGTAAAAATATAAATTTTGTTAACGAAAAAAAAAAGTTTTGAAGTAATGGAATATTAAAAGTAAACAATCGAACCAGTTAATAGCATGGTATTATTATGTAGATAAGTCTTATCTATACTTACCGTTGTATATAAGAGACCAGTAAATTACGGTAATCGTGAAAGCCACAGGAGTTGCCACGACATTCAGCAACCAATATACAGGATAGATTTTCAGCACCGAGTCCTGCCATTGCTTTTTTCTTGTCACGCAACATACTGTAAGCATTATGCAAGCCAATAGGGCTTGGATCATACAAATCGTGAATCCCCAGTTGGTAAGATAGATGGGCCATTTGGTCGAACCGTCATAAGTTTTCTCGTTCACTATACTAAACACCCATGACACAAAAAATGTGATAAACATACATGTTCGGAATATGCAGTATTTTACATTGACTGTATTTTGGTCTATTTGCCACTAAAAATAAACGAAAAACCTTTAAAATTAGATGAAAAGGTGTAAGGATTAAAATAAGAATCTAAGCTATGGCATATCAAGTCATTGCTATTATTACATCAAGATTATTGCATTTTATTACATACAGGATTAACGCTTTATATCTTACTTAAGTCAGTCTCATTTTTTTTAGCTATACAAGGCTATAAACTCTCATTCATCTGTGATTTCTTACAGTACAAGGCTATACTTTTCACAGTAACTACTTGGTGCTATTACATTCTAAATTATTGGTCGCATATAAAATGGTTAGTTTAAAAAAAAAAAGATATAAAATATAAAATGAATTATTACTATTTTATATAGACTGTGTGTCTCAAACAAGTGTCAACCATAAACCTAAGTGATTGGTGGAGGGTACAGATCAATCGAATTAAAGCCTATTAAAAGTACTCACCTGCGACAATACAAAAGTGATAGGCCTTTCATGGCGCAGAGAGATTTGATTCAATGATAAATATTTGTTCCAAGACGGTCCCACCATAATTTACTTAATAAACTATCATTGAATCTGTAATGCAATAAAAAAGAAATTAATCAACATTTTATTGAGGCGTCTTCGAGAACAATTGTCATGATTTCAATTGATTCAACATTATTGCTGATGGCGAACACAAACCTAACTAATTTATGAATAAGTAAAAGGGTATATCTCGGTGCATATGCCCCACTGATAAAGACGCTAAGAAGTACATACTGTTTCTTTATGTATGTTGCATACTTCAATATTAGTTATATAACAATTATCCAACCAAACTACACTTTCCTTCACATTTACAATATTACAGCTTCACATTTACTACACTTTGGTCTATAAACGTACGGTAGAAAGTTACCAGCATTAAAGAATCACAATAATTACATTCAGATTTTTACCAATCAAAACATTTCGAGATATCAAACAATTACATTTATCTTTTTATCGATATAATATTAACAGAACATTTTTCATATAGATTACAGATATTAAACAAATATTCTAAATTGTCCAGGACCAGGGCCGGCGGAAGGGCCGGGCGACCCGGGCGGCTGCCCGGGGCGCCATATACGAGGGGCGCCACGACGACAACTAAAATATTTAAAAACAGTAACGAATGACCAGATCAATAATTAATCGGTACTATCAATTTCCACATTAAAATATTACCAATTACCACACACCACACCACATAGGGAAGAATATCTGACTAAACATTATAAACACTACTATATCCTAGACGTATCCTATTATAGTTTACTGAAATTATGCTCAAAAAATCCTTTGCATGAAAGCTTTGGGATAGTTGTAATTTCTTCCATTCTATATGTTTTTTGGATGCTCTATTTGAAACTGGGATTTGCGAATTCATTTTCGTGGAAAAATCTTAAACGAAATAAAATAAAAAAATATAAATCTGATTTGTTCGTGGTAATTTACTTATAATTCAAAAGCTATCAATTTTTTGTAAATAACCTTTCTTTCTATAATTCTTGTTTTTATAAATTTTCTCTAAACAAACTGTTTTCGGTCAAGAGTCAGCAAAATTGGCAGTTTTAGACTGACTGCTCAAAATCGCACTTTTTCTACTACCCTTTTATTTGTTATTAATGGCTGATGTACCCTAAAATTATATGAGGAGATTCATTCGCAAGAAGCTGAAGAGGGATCTCGATATCCTTATTATCCAAAAAAAAACTTATAAGTTTGCCTCATTAGTTAAATTAATTTATTAACAGTAGTGGGAAAATATGTCAATTTTTTGGCGATTTTGCGATTCCCAATTGAATATTTAATAATACACGGAAAATGGTAGCAGAATCGTAGAATTTTCTCATTAGAGCAAGACAAAGGAATGCATCTCAAACACTGGCTGAACCTCATTTTGAAGCCGACAAAACTAGATCTGATCATAAACGAAACGTGACGAAAACGAACGTGAAAAACAAAAGAAAATTTTCTTAGACTCATATAGAAAAATAATGCAACTGCTTGAAACTAAATACTAATATTTTCAAAGATCACTTATACCAGAACGAGACTGCCGAAGTTAGAATTCTATTTCTCATAACTCCATATACCGGGTGCGTCTCAAAAGTGGCTCACCCCTCTAACTTATTTATTTTTTCAGAAAAAAAAACGAAATTTGGTATGTTAGTATACGACATAAATTAAGATTAATTGACGCATTCAATTCTTTTTGGTCACTTCTTCTTTCACCGGAAATGACTACAACTTTTGATTTTTAAATGGCACCCTCGGTATATTTCTACTTTATGACATATGTCATCTTTTGATATTTTCGATTAAAAATACGATTTTGGCATATTTTGGACCGGCCAGGACAAGACACGAAAAACATTAGGTGATCAAATCTATTTTTCCAAGGCTCGATCCTTGTTTAAAAATTAGTATTTTTAACAGAGCCATGGCACTCTAGATTGAAATTTAAAATATAATGTTTTTAGAATGAAAATGTCAAAAGTTGACATATGATATGTCATTCTACTCAGAGTGTCATTTTCTATCGAATGAAGTAAAAATATACCGAGGTGGCTATTTAAAAATCAAAAGTTTTACTCATTTCCGATGACACAGGAAGTGGCCCAAAAACAATTGAATAGTCAATCCTAATTTATGTCATATACTAACATACCAAATCTCGTTTTTTATGCAAAAAAATAAAAAAGTTATAGGGTTGAGGCAATTTCGAGACGCACCCGGTATACAAAAAACAACAACCGCAGACTCAGATTAAAAGAAGAGTAGAATTTTGAAGTATCTTTAAGTGAAAATTTATTATTAAAGTAGCATACATATGCTTAGTTGTAGTTAAAGAATAGTATTGAAAAAAAAGAGAGTTATAATAACTATTGGGGGGGGGGGGCATAGGGTACTAGCCCGGTCTCAATATTTGCCTTCCGCCGGCCCTGTCCAGGACTATATTATTTAGTACTCTAACAGTACACTGACGATTTACATGAGGAACAGTATTTAAATCGTATATGCATCTGTTTCAGCCTGGTCTACTGTTATAAATAAGGTTATCAATCAAAACTGAAACTTTTATCTAGAATCTACAGTTTCTGAATTCATGAAATCTTAACTAAACACTGTTATTTCCATTCGTTTATAAAAAAAGAAAACTAAACCCATTTCTCATTTAAATATTTATATTTCTATTGATCTACCTTCCTACATAGCCAGGTCATTTACCTCTTTAATTATAATATTAACATTGAAAGAGGACGTTTAAGTTTTGCAACATCAACTCAAAAAATGTCCGAATACAAAATATAACACAATGTACGCCGATTTTCCGCGCAGTCCATTTAAAAACTAAGTGAAAAATCGAGGTAACGTAGGTATCTGGTTTTCCCATGATCAAAGATTTTAATCGCAATCAAATTAGCTAAATAAGGAATTCAGATTTAAATGCAAAGGCTGCATTACAAGGAAGTGAAGATATTCAGTTAATCTGATATACGAGGGACATATGTAGCTAACTTGTTGGTATTAGTATCAATTATAAATTTATAATGGTAATGTGGAGGGAAATTATTTCTTCTCTTTTTCAGAGAACACCTCGTACAGGCTACTAAAAATAGTTGTATTGCAAATTTAAATCAGCTGCAAATTATGTATCGTGTTTAACCGGTGTATTTTCCTCATAGGTTGAAGTAGTATGGCTATAAAATGATAATCAAAGGTGGTAAAATGAAAATTGTGTGTTATTAAATCATATAAAACAATATCAAAGTAACTAATCTGAAAAAAGGCCTGCATAATGTTAATCCAGCAATGATTATCTCTGAGATACAGAAAATATGAGAAAAATCTTTTATCTTCTGTGTTAGGCATGTTATCAATTTTTATAGATGCTGATTTTTCGAAAACTATTGAAATATCACCTAATAACAAATAATCTGTATTAATCTTAGTGCTGCGAGTATATAATCTAAACCATAAAATTATATCATAATAAAACAGCGTCACAGTGACCAGTCAAACGACAATTGTTGATAATTTAAGTCGAACTAATCTCTGTAAAATGAAATAAATAAATGATACCTATTGTTGATGGATTTATGAATGCGCCAATCTTGCATAAACAAAGGAAGGCTTCTAATAACCTGACATATGTTGAATATGGTAGATAATAATAAATTATCTATTAAAATTGAACTGAAAAACTATAAAACATTTTAAATGATAATGAAAAGAATTTGTGAGTAATATTTTTATAGAAATCAAAGAATTTCATACGTTATAATACTTTTTTTAACTACCTGTTAAACCTGTGACTAATTTTTAAAAAATCTAAATTATTTATTATACCGTAATAAAAACAGCGTCACAGTGGGCTATGATAATTCCTGCCAAACTGAATTATCTAATTAAATAAATAATAACGATTGATGAATTTATTAAGGAGCTAATCTTGAATCTTGTATGTGTCAGAGAGGATTTTAACGATCCGGGATAAATTGAAAAAAGCGAACAGAATTTGGTAATGTTGAGTGTTGAGTAGAGGAAAAAATTGGTGTAGAAAAGGAACAAAATGTATAGCCGGTGTCAGAGTGTTATAAAAACTTGTATAAAATAATAAGCAAAGTAATAACCAAAAAGGAGTTATTAAAAATTCATTGAACGGGTTTGGTAGCAACCCGGGGCCATTTAAGTGAAGGAATGTCCGAAAGAGTTCAACTGAAGCCAAAACCAGTATCGGAATTAAGTGCACTTATTTTTTGGCAGTTTTAAAAATTTGCTATTGTAACAACCCAGCGGGGCCAAACGAAAAAAAAAACTCCTCTCCGCGCTGTACAAAGTTCAGAAAAGATTAAATCGTGATGCGAAACAAAAATCCAGCAGTAAACTCAGCAATCGTAAAATTTTATTATAAAGCCTGCTCTTTAGGGTTTTATTATCAATAAGACATAAATAACTTAAACAGTAAAAAAAGACAGATATCTTTTTATTTTATAACTTAATTTCAGCACCATCATGTTCCTTTTTTTTCAGTCGTAAAAAGTACAACTTACCTGTGAACGCCGCCTTTGCCAGGTTTTATTATTACATGAAAATTTTATTTGAACATTTTTGTCAACTCCCCTGATATTAATAACTCCAATAACAATCGATATATTATTAATCTAGATAAGTTAACGACAATTTTTTTACTTTATTCTATGATCCCCCCCTTCCCTCACCCCAAACAGCAATACAATAAAAAGGAAAAAACACAGGAGTTTATTTTTTTTTAAATAATTTCTAAACTAACATCGATATTTGGATGAAAATTGGTGTCTGTATGTGAGTATGTTTTTTACTTGTACGCTATACCAACCTTACCTGTTTTTTACTGCTTTGAAGAGTAAATCAATTTTTATTATTTGTCAATGATGTATTGATTATTTCTATTTCAAATTTCTTGACAACGGTTGCTCTTCGATTTTCCCCTTCAAAAATGTAAACGTGGCGCCCCCTACAAGTAGGAGTTATACTGATATCGAAACCGAAATTCTCATATCAAACATTTAGAAAAATTATTTTTCAAATAATTAAAACGAAATGAAAATTAATTTCTAATCCATATTTCTCCACCCTGTATCTCCAAAACAAAGCGATCTTAGAACATGAATTTATACAAACTTTTTTACTTAAATATATAGGCAGAATATCTTGTCAACGTTTACCGTTTACAATTCGGACCACCCTATATATAGATATTTATATAATATTGGCTACTCTTTAGTACGATAGGAAATAGATAACTTTAATAAATAAACCATTAAATTATTTTATCACTCTGTCAATAATATTAAATTAGTAATAGTTAATGTTAAAACTGTTCTGAACCACGCGAACGTAAAATACAAGATTT